ATTTATTCTTTCACTGGAGAATGTTTCAATGTCAGTGTAGTAGTTAGAAAAACAAAGTCATGATGTAATGAGAACAGCATCTCCTATAAACAACTGTTCTAAATACTCAGTGCTTGTCTTATATTCCCAACCTCTGTTCTCCTCTCTGCACTAGATACCTACCATTGTGGACTACAAAGATGTATTGTCAAACATTGTCTCACTCGAGAGAAGAACTCTTCACCTTTACAGCTTCATTTGCGAACTGTCACTCTTAAACACAAGCCTTTGTGTGTATTCTCCAGCTCAGGTGGCAGCTGCAGCGCTGCTGCTGGCTAAGATACTACACAGGCAAGGTAACAAACCTAGCCTTAAGTGGAGCTCAGCATGGAATGTCAGCCTGCTTTGTCTCTTTAGGAAGCCTTTAGGGTTTTGGGGGTTGCTTAGTCTTTAGACAATATGTCCCAATCACTTGGCTGGGGGAGGAGACCGGGTATAAGATTTCAGAATGAAGAGCTGAATTTAGTCCTGGTTTACCTCTTAATAGCTATAATGAACAAGAGTCAGACTACGCAAACTTTGTGTTTAAATGAGACTGAAGATTTCTATACTTAGGTATAACTTCAGTTTGGCAGGTAAACCTACCCTTGAAGCTAATTATGAACTATGTACAGGGATAAGCTTGTAAAGATCATGATCTTTGTCACTTAAAAACATGTCTCTGGTTACAAAACTGCTAAGCTCTGTGCAATTGTAATGTGTGTTCTCTTCCCAGCACGCCCCTGGACCAGCCAGCTGTCTGAGTGCACTGGTTTCTCCCTTGAAGACCTCCTGCCCTGTGTCCTAAGCCTCTACCAAAAGTGGTAATAATTTTGGAACTCTTTGGGAGGGCACATTTGTACTTGGATTCCAGCTCTCGTAGACATGCTGCGCCAATAGGGTCAGCCCTTCCCAGTGGCAGAGGTGGCTTTGGCAAACTGCCGTGTTTCCCCTGACACAAGGCACAAAGGGGAAACGGGCCAGTTCAGGGACAGCTCTTCTATTTCTCCCATCTGGTAGTGGCTCTGGGTTTTATGCTCCTCAAGGCTTCACAGGTTTCAGCTTGCCAAACAGCTCATTTTCAGAAGACTGAAACTGGCTTATTGGGGAGCTTCAGAAGGAGTTCCAGGAGCACAAGTAGCTCGTTTTACAAGAGTACAAGGCAAATATTTTGATTATTCTCAGGAACAGAAAATGAATTAGATTCTCCTATGCTTAGAAACCAAGTGTCCTATCTAGCTGCCTAGTAGCTCTGCTGAAACACCAACTTCGTTAGCACAGAGTTGAGATGGACAGAGGGAGCTGGGAGCACTTGTTAATATTGTTTCATATAATCCATTCTAAGATTAGGGCTTTAATATTTCTTTCCAGCTTCCACGATGATGTCCCAAAGGATTATAGGCAGGTGTCCTTAACTGCAGTGAAACAACGATTTGAGGATGAGCGTTATGAAGAGATAGGCAAGGAGAAGGTGAGTGAGCTCTTGGTCTGTCTTTGCTGATGTCTGATACCCAGAGCAAAGCTACCATACAGCAGGATGTGATAAGCTGTAAATAATGGGAAGTGGGTTCTAACTTCAGACTTTTGGAGAAGATATCTAAAGTGGTAGCTTTAACCTTGATCTGTGGGACGTTAACTGCTCTGTTTGAGTACATGTGGGAAGAACTCACTGGGATAGATTTCTCTTGGAAAATAAATAGCCTCCTCCTGGCTGTTTATTCTTCATGGGAATCTCATGGTCTAATTCTTACTGGCTCTTCAATTTTTCAGATGATGAGTTACAGCCAGCTCTGTTCAGTGCTGGGTGTGAAACAGGAGGACCCAGAGCCCAATCCCTTGCATACAAATGTGGTGGAAATTCAGACTTTCCTAAGCTCTCCCTCTGGCAAGAGAACTAAAAGGCCAGTATAACTCCTCACTGTAAATGTTGCTGAAGATCAGCATGAGCTTTTCCTCCTCTGGTATCCTGAGGTTTCATTCTTAAATATGATAAATCTTTCTGCAATTGCCTTATCATACTTGTGAAAAGAGACAAAAGACTTGGATTTTAATGTGTGACTTGTGGATTTCCTTGCTACAGGAGGAGGGAAGACAGCATTCAGGATGACAGAGGCAGCTTTGTGACTACACCCACAGCAGAGCTATCCACCCAGGAGGAAAGTCTTCTAGATAACTTCCTAGACTGGAGTTTAGATTCCTGCTCTGGTTATGAAGGTGATCAGGAAAGTGAAGGCGAGAGAGATGGAGATGGTGAGGGGTTTGTTCTCCTTTATAAAAGCAGATGAGAATTAAAACTGTCTTTTTATCTTTGCTTAAAACTGTTTCTCAGGCAACAGAAGCCTGAACTTTCAGCTGAAGACCAGTTGGAAAAACTCTCCCCCTTCCCCCGTGGTTATAACTGTTGAACTATTTTAGAGGTATATATCTGTTCTCTTTCTCTAGACTGCTTCAGAGTGTGATGAAGCGTCTGTAGCTGCTCAGCATTTCAAAGGGAGCCTGTTTGCAGGTCCTGCTGATAGTGGACAAAATGTGATGTCCCACTGAGTTAGACATGCTGTATTATCAATCTTGCTGACTTTAGGACTGGCTGTTCATTTTCTAAACAGCTCTTGGTAGCTATCCAAACAGTCAGGAGAGGGGGGGGAAGATTCTGTTTTAACTGGAAAGGGACTTTTCACAAGGGCAGGTAGTGATAAGACAAGGAGGAATGGCTTTAACATGAAACGAGAGAGTGAGATATGGCACTAGGAAGTTCTTCCCTCTGAGGGTGGTGAGGCACTGGCACAGGTTGCCTGGAGAAACTGTGGCTGTCCCATCCCTGGCAGTGTTTAGGGCCAGGCTGGACAGGTCTTGAAGCAACCTGGTCTATTGGAAGGTGTCCCTCACCATGGCAGAGCATTGGCACTGGATGAGCTTTAAGGTCTCTTCCAACCAAAACCATTCCATGAAATGAGGGTGAATTTAGTGCTCTACCCTCCCATGTGTAGGTAGACATTAAATTTCCACTCTCGGTTGATTGTTTTCTGCTTGAATGCCTGCTTGGTGTTGCCCAAATCAAAACTAATTTTTTTCTTTCACCATCCTGCAGTGACAAGTCCCAGTGGGATCCTGGACATGACAGTGGTTTACATGGATCCTGCAGAGCACTGCTGTCAGGACTCCAGCGATGAGGACAACCTAACTGTGGAGTGGGGTGGGCACACAGTGCCCCTGGGGGAGGCAAACCTGCTGGATGACACTCACAGCCTTTCAGCATATCTCACACCAAGAAATTCTAACCTGGAAGGGAGCTCAGGCTACTCTTCTGTCAACAGTGCCAGTCCTATGTCTTCTTTAGAAGGCAGCCTTGGAGTACCTCTGAAACCTACCTCAGCACTGTCTGCTGGCAGTGCCAGGAGCAAGGAGCCATACCTGCCTCACTACCTGGAACCATGTTTACAGTCAGCCTGTGCTAGGCCTGGCACAGGCAAGCGTGACAGAAGGCAAGTTAAGAGGAAAAATGTGGCAGAACACAGTGAAGAAAGGGTCAACTTGGGCTTCTTCAGCCTCTGATTTCCTCATGCTCTTTTCTGGAATCAGTGTTTCTGTTGTAGCCATACAGGGATGATAGTGAATAATTGTCAGTACCTCCAAAAAGAGCCCTTCCCCTCAACTTTGCTTATGTCTCTTTTGTAACCTGTAGCTCACTTCTGGGCCACTTCCTTCCTTGATAACTGCCTTTAAAGTATTCCCTGTTGTCTGATCCTCTGCAAACTAAGATCCTTCTCCACATAGGAAATGTTAAAGCTCACTTCTGTCATACCTCAACAGTTATTCCTTGGTGATAGGAATGAACTTGTCGTGTCCTTGCTTCGCTGTGAGGCCTGGTACCATAAATGAAAGGACTGGACTTTGGTTCTCAAATTATTTGCTGGAACACTATGTTTGAATTCTTCCACTTGAAAAACCTTTTTGAGGATGTGCTGCCTTTTCCTTCTGGCCAGGTACTGTCTCACTTAGCTGGTGCTTCCCTCTTCTATGTATATATTATTTGCTGCACTGATACAAGGTTTTTATGGATACAGTCAAGGTAAATGAAGGCTCACTGCAGGTCTGAGCTTCTGTTTTACCTACCTCTCCATTGCCTCTGGCTCTAGCTGCCATGTTTTCCTCCCCTAAAAAATCCTCCTTTTGTGCCTTAACGCTTTACTGCCGAGTGCTCCAGTAACGTGATCTCTGTGAACTGTTAGTCTCTGCTGCAACTGTGGTTGAACTGCTTCCTCCAGCTGCTGCCTTCCACTTCACTTTGTGTCTTGCACAGTCTTCCTTGCTGTTTCCATTAACATGTCCTCAAGGAAAGCACAACTCGCTTGAACACTAGACCCAGGCAGCAACACAGGAAGGGCAGTCAGTCTCTTACTGAAAGCCTTAATTTAGGGCTTCCTACTGGCACCTTAGCTGCAAGGGCAGCATCTGCTTCTCTTGCCAATGATAAAATCTGTGCTGGCCACCTCCACTGACCTCAGCTCAGCAAGCCTGGGCTACATCTCCTTCAGCCTGTGAACATGAGAACATCTTCCCTTGACAAACACCACTGAAATACCAAGGTACAAGACGTGCAGGAGACATCACTGAATTGAACACTGGAACTGGACTCTGCCTTTTCCTCTGGTTAGAAGTTACTGTGGCAGTCGGCAGCAGTTCAGATACACACAGTGTAGCAATTTTTTTTTTTTATAAAAAACTTTTTTAATACAGGTGGCTCCATGTCTTACTTCAGTGAGTTGTGTCACACTGCCCTGGGCCTGTGAGAACATGGGATGGGGGGAGTTGAGGTCAGAGTCTAGTTCTTGGAATTAATATCTTGCATTAAATATCATGAGCAGCTGGGAGAACACCCTGCTGCAACCACCCTCACAGCTACAGCAGCTCCAGAAAAGCCTTGACTATACCACACAACCAACACAGAGCAGCTCTGAGTGCTTGGCCACAAAGTTTATTACAAAACTATGTACTGTCACTAGTTAAAAAAGAGGTCCCTGATTTAGTTTTCTGTGCCACACTTTGCCCTTCTCGTGGCTACATCACAGTTCTTACAACAACCTACCACACAGGGGCATCTTCACATTAACTTCTTACAACAGCAGCTCAAAATTTAGCATTGGCTCACATTAAAACTGTTCTAAAATACGTGGGTAAAAGTTAAATAGCTGTAAGAAAGGCCTCACGCTGCAGAAAGCTTTCAACACTTTTGCTGTGCAATTTCTCTTGATCTGAAAAAAAAAGGAATAAAATATGAACATTCAGCAGTTCAATTCCTTCCCAGAAGAGTAATAGAGGTGATGAGGAGCTAGCTCTGTGTGTTGGGGTTTGGTGCTTAATCTAGTGGCCTTGCTGAGGCTAAAACAAGGCCCATCTCTGTCAAAGCCTCAGTCTTGGAGGTGCCTCCTGGACAGAACAGAGCACCTGTGTCTAGAGCCATCACTTAATGCCACAGGCCTGAGGCAGTAAAACCAGAGCTAAAGCAGCTTTCTGAAAAGGAAAAGCAAAAGCTACAGCTCAGAGCCTTGGTTCTTTAAAGACAGGAATTTTAAAAGGACCAGAGTGCATCAATCTGCATTTTGTTACCACCTCCGCACCCCTGCAGATTGTTCAACCCTGCTTTGTTAACCCTGCCTGGATTCCTCCAAGGACAAGTATTTCTAGACAGAAATGGAGGAAACATGCTGTGACACAGGCAAAGCCTGACTTTTAGCACTGGGATAGGCTCTTTACTGGAAATGGTGAAGGGCCAGCACTCCCTCCACACGTCAGGAAAGAGATCTTGCAGCCTGCTCCATGCTCACCTCCCCAGGCACCCTGGGGCACATGGAGCAGGGCAGCAGCACCAAGCTGCTGCTGTGCTCACAGCAGTGCAGGGGGACAAGTGCTCCATGCTGCTGCCATCCAAACCATGGCACTTACTCAGGGCACCATTTTGATATCCACCGAGTCATAAGCTGAAGCTTTCATCTTTTCCAGTGGCTTCTTAAAGAGCTGCCGCAGGGCCTCATAGTCAGGCTTTGCCTCATACTCCAGCGCCATTACTTGCTGCAGGTAGCTCTGTAGGGCATCTGCAAGGCCAACAGCATCACTTCATGGAGCAGCACAGTAGCCCCAGCTGTCTCTACAGAGCTGCCCATATGTGCCTCTCCAGCAAGGCTCATGGATAGAGACAATAGGTAGCAGTCCTCCTTGTTTTGCTGTAAAAACAAGGGATTTGTCCACAGGAGCTCATCAGTCCGTGCAGTCATTGGTCACCACTGCCAGTGGCAGCCACTGTGGATGAGCACCCCAGCACAGAGAAGGCTCTAACTTCAGGTACCCTCAATCCTCCTTCCCCAAGTCACACTGCCAGAGAGAGCAAGCCTGTACCTGGAATGGATCTCTGCCTGTAGCACAGCTGGAGAAGGCATTTCACATCCTCTCTGTACCTGGAATGATCAGTGTAGAGAGCTGTCAGATTAGGAGCAATGGAGCAGGTGCCTAAGCAGCCTGTCTTGGGCAATAGGGACAGAAAAGAAACAAGGCTGAATTTAGATGGCCACATTCTGAATGGAGCAGAAAACAGGATCCATCAAACACCCTTTGGCCAGGCTCAGCTTCTACAGTGGGAGTTACCCACAGCCCTATAAGCGTCCTGTGCCCAAGTGATTTCTCTTCAAACACAAAACTTCCCTCCCTGCTTTCTGCTGAGCAAGAAAGTAGCAAGGGTGGGTGAGATGATTTCTCCTACTTTTCCTTCTTTTCCATCACAGTTTCTACTTTGTCCAGCTCATCAGACCAAGGCAAGAAGCCACAGATCCATTTCAGAAGACAGTAGCCCAGAGATTCCAAGTCACTTCGGCGAGATGGTCCTGATGGGAAGAAAGATTCACAACAGAGTTTGGGAGACCCAGGCTAGTGCCTCTCCCCCAAAGGACATCAGCATTTTCTGCACAACCCTGGAAGTCCATATTTGACATGCCCCCTCTGTAGGACAGGCAGTCTCCTGAAGTGGCACAAGACTAAAGAGCAGAAGAAATGCAAGAGCTTTGTTAAGATGTGCTCTGGGCTATCAATACTTCTGGAATGCTGCTAACTCACAGTCACCTCTCAGCCTCCGGTGGAAGATTTTCCCAGTCTGCACACTGGGAGAGAACAGTCACATCCCAGCCAGGAGAGGAACTGGCTAATTTAAATATCTTCCCAGCTCTCACTGCTTCAAGGTCAGAGCAGAGCCTGCTGCTAATCTCTTTTGGGCAGGGATCCAACCTGGATTGAATCAGATCCCTGCTAAGCCAGCACAAAGCTGCCCTGTTTTCTATTCCTTGCATGCCTGCAGTAGCCAAGGCTCCAGATGGAGCACCTCTTGCTGCAGTCACTGAGTGACCTGCCAAGTCCCAATGCAGCAGCCCAGAGAGAGGCAACAGTAAACAGCCTAAACAGGAGCTTGGTTCCAGGTGCATGTGAATGCCTGGAAAGCAGGAGTAACAGAAATGCCAGCAGGGAGCCCCAGCTCCAGCCATCACTGCCACAGCAACAGCTCTAGAGCTGAGCTCAGGAGAGAAACCAACTCACCTGCACCCTTGTGGCTGTCCACACTGATGAACTCTATCGTGCCCTCATGAGGGGTCCTGCTGCCCTCGCGCCAAGCCACATGCTTACCTCCTGGGCAATAACGGAAGGCAAAGCAATAGCCTGCGAGGGTCACCTAGAAGACATCAAGAAGTCCGAGTGTGTGCATGGTGTGAATTCTGCTCACAGTCCCACAACCCTGCACCACAGCACCTGCCTGTGCACTGCACAGGCTGCGCTGCACTGCCCAGCCCCAGGAAAACCTGGGTGTTGCTCTATCCTATTTCTCAAGCCCACCTGCACAGCATCGTTCCCTACCTGCATGTGGTCTGCTGGGTTCAAATAGATGTTCTCAGCTGTGATGTCCCCATGCACATACTCATTCTCATGGATGTACTCCAGGCAGTCAAGCTAGGAGCAAACAGAAGAGATGAGCATATCAGAGCTACACAGACTCCCTCAGCACCTTGCCTGTCACTGAGCTGGAGCCTCCCCAGCTTCTTGCAGCTGTGTAGAGAGGCAAACAAAGGTCCATGTCTCTCAGCCTCTAATGTTCAACTGTCAGGTCTCTCTCCTTATCCCAAATTCCTTCAAGGTGACATATCGTCCAAAAGATGCTACTCAAGTTTACTACTAGCTCAAGAGATACTACTGAGAGACCTCAACCAACCCCCCAAGTCAGCTTTACAGCACCTTTGAGAGATCCAGAAGAAAGTTATAGGTACTTTCTGGAAAAGTCTCTTAGGAAGTAGTGGTTCTCTACATACCAGCCGGACTACAATCTGAAAAGCTGCCTTCTCCCTCAGTAGGTGCAAGCCATCATTCAGGACAGACTGAAGAGTTCGCCCTAAGTCAGAGAACACCAAAAACCTACAAAAGACAAGGGTGTAGCACACAGCATCCAATCTGGAAACCCTGCCATAGCCACTTGCCAAGCCATCCCCCCTGAGTAGAGCCCCCTTCAGCTTCAATGGGTCTGGGCAAACATTTCCAAAACTTCTGGTAACAGAAGACTTCTTGAAAAGGGGAGAGAAGCTGATCAAGTGTTGCAGATATAAAGCCTGAGCTTCCCCTTCGGGTTAAACTTAAAAGGCAGGAATAAGGGGAAAGAAGTAGGAAGCAGCAAAAGCAATGACTTCACCAGCAACACAAGGACTGAAGGGAATGGGATAATGGGGCAAACCATTTGTTAATCAATGAGATAGGAGCAGTGCATAGGGTTGGGAGCCCAGGAGACAATGAGAAGAGGAATAGCAGACAGCAAGAAGAGGGAAAGTGCAAGGTGGTGGCAGTTGTGAATCAGCTGTGCCCTTCACAGAGTCAACTCACCTGTAGCTCTCTGCATGCAGTCCAAAGCCAACGCAATTGGGAATTCCCAGCAATGGCACAGAGTGCCCCTTCCTCCACTTCTCCACTAGAATGGGAGAAAGGAGGATAGAGTGCAGCAGATGCTGCCCAGCAGATCCAGCAGGAAGGAGCTCAGTCTGGGATGCCCTTTCTCCGATGGGTGCTCTGCCCTGGGCAGCTACAGCTGGATCCAATCTCACAGTGATTCTGTCCCAGAAATGTCAGCCTTATGTGTTGGGGTATCTGTGTGTCAATGCACAGTGCTGCAGAGCAAGAGTGGGACAGACAGGATGCAGGAATACCAGAGCAGACTAAGGTGTGTAGTTGCTATAGAGCAAGGAAAAATAAGAAAGACAGGAGAGACGGCTAGAGAAGATTTTTATAGTCCTCCCAGAAGTGTGGGTTTGATGTGAACTCCTCCATCACCCCAGCCCATGTTTTGTGGCTCAGGTTTCTGGGTCAATGCAGTAAATACCAGACAGGAGGTGACAGAAATGCCCATGGAAGGGGCACAGAAGAAAGAAGGAACCAAGCAGGTCAGGCTGCAGGGCTGAACAGCTACAGCGACATCAAGACAGGGGAAGAGAGCTTCAAAATGCGAATACTGCAGTATCCAGGTACACAGGGGCTCCTGGGAGAGCAGGCTCCCAGGACTCAACTTCTCAGCTCTCTGACACAACCCAGTGAATTAGTTCCTTCCAGCCTCGCCATTGGTGAGACCTGCATGACTGATGAGAAAGGGGTGGAAGTTTCCTACAAGCAGCCTCCTCCCCGCCCCTCCAAGAAGCACCAACCTGTGGCTGCCTTCGCAGCTCGCTGGAAGAAATTCTGTTCATTGTAGATCCTTCCACCTTTTACATCCTACAGGGAAGAGGAAGGAGCGTTACTACAGCCACACCCCCCTGCTATATGAGGGGGCAAGATCACTACACATCACAAGATCTTGGGCAAGATCGCTACAGGACCTTCACTACTCATTTTAAAGAGAGCAACAAAACCCCACAAAGAAAGAAATACCAGAGCAACAACAAAGCTCAGGTCTTTTGGGTCACTAATGCTGCACCCAACCACCAGAAACGCTCTGAGATCAGCACAGAACAAGGGAGCAGCCATCTGACATTGGACATTTCAGGCATTACCATTTACAACTGCTTGTGGGTTAGAACCATGTCAACAACATAGAGAGAGCTCCAGCCCCAAAGCTCAAAAAAAGGCGCAGAGGTGACCTTGTTACCCACAGCACAGATGAGGTTATTCTGTAAACAAGCAAGTCTCAGAGAGCTGTAACATTTTATTCTAGTTGCCAGAAAGGGAGAAAGTCCGTAGCTCTAAAGCTGGGCTGCGTGCTGACATCTTACATCCAGCTTTTTAAATCAGCAAGAAGTACTGCACTTTCACTACTGCTGTTACTGAGTGAACTGAAATGCGTATAGTTTACAGTCAGTATCAAAGAATCCCAGACTGGCCTGGGTTGGAAGGAACCTTAAAGCTCATCCAGTTCCAAACCCCTGCCACTGGAGGGACACCTTCCACTAGACCAGGTCGCTTCAAGCCCCGTCCAGCCTGGCCTTGAACACTGCCAGGGATGGGGCAGCCACAGCTTCTCTGGGCACCCTGTGCCAGCACCTCAGCACCCTCACAGGGAAGAGCTTCTGCCTAAGAGCTCATCTCAGTCTCCCCTCTGTCAGGTTAAAGCCATTCCCCCTTGTCCTGTCCCTACAGGCCCTTGTCCAAAGCCTCTCTCCAGGTTTCTTGCAGCCCCTTTAGGCACTGGAAGGATGTGTATGTGTTTGCCTATGCACACATGTATGTATATCCAGCACACTGCAAACTAACTTAAGACAGATGCCATCACACAGGGGAGGAAGCAGCAGTTTCATATGCTAGCTGGTTTGACCCCAAATGCCCTACCCACAACCAGCTGAGGTAGCTGGATGATCAGCAGGCCCCAGACAACACAAACACCCATGTTCCAGAGGGTATTTTATTCAGCACCTTGCCTGGTGAGCAGATCTGAGCCACCAAAGCCAGGAGGCCAACTGCTCTTGTGTGCATTATCAGACTGTACATTCCTCACCAGGCAAGAGCTGGGCTGGGCCAGCAGAAGGCTACCAAGCAAAACACCGAAAGATGCCAAAGGTGCAAAACAGGGTCGTTGGGAGTTTTGTGTACGCAAGTTTCCTTCTGTAAAGCTTCACACCCACTGTTTCTTGTTTTGTGGCACTTGGCTGTCTTTTCTCATTAGCACTATTCTTTCTTCAGCTGCTAAATGTCTCAAAAGGGACGGTGACTTTTCACCAGGTCCCCCCAGAGCTGTCAGCACTCGTCCTCCCACAGACAAGCAACCCCAGGTGCCACGGCAGACAAGAAAATAGCCTCTCTGCTCTGGTTTGTGAGTTACTGAATATCAATCAATTGGATTCCACTGCAGAGCAGCCATTACTGGAAACAGCACATTTCTGGAGAGCCCAGGTTATTGGCAAGTGCCTGGAAAGCTGGCTCAGAACTCCAATTAGAATTACTGTTTGATTTGAAAACATGCTCTGGCCTTACAGAGCCTCTCAGTGCTGGTGCATCACACTACTTCAGCACAGCCAACCAATTCTAACCTCCCCATTTCCCCAGACTTCAGCAGGGCACATACACACTTGCCACAGAGGAAAAAAGTAGATCTGACATTAGTGAATTGAGAGCTCCACCTTACATCACCAGATCCAGTTTTGGAGGTTACTGAGCCTGGCAGATCAAAGAGGCAAACCTTCTCTAATTAGGGCTTGTGGGGGGTTTAATCCTCATATCTATTTTCTTCACACCTTTAGTGGAAGAGCCAAATTCTACTGAAATCCAAGCATGACACTCTCAGGAAGTTACATCCATCTCCTGAGCAAGGTGGGGCCTCTGTGTTCACCTTCTCTGAGTTCCTGGGACATTCCTCTCAGCCCTGCAGGGCAGATATGCCAGGCCCTGGACACAACACACTATGCACTTCACTATTCCTTACCCAGATGGATCAAAACTCACAAGTTTGAGGGAGTATCTTTGCTTTTGAGGACAGGCTCCAGATGCTGACTGCGCTGTGGAAGGATGGAACAGATGTGGTTACAAGAGCACAGGAAAGAGGCAGTGCAGCATCAGCTGCACCATTAAACACAGCCTGTGCAGCTGCTTCTACTTATCCTCTGCTTCTTTCACTTGGTCTTTGCAGGAGCATCCTCTGTGACAAGGTCTTCCCAGATCACTACAAGATAATCCTTACCTTGCTCCAGAAGCACAGCACCCTGACATGCTGCAAGTGCAGTTCTGCTTAAGCCACAGAAGCATCTCAGCATGGCTACAGTAGAGGGGTGCTTTGAAGATGGCATGTAAAGAACAAATAATTAGTAGAACCTCAAAGGCACCTCCAGATTCGTTTGTTGAGTATTCCCTCCAGCTCAGTTCACGGTTTGTCAAAGATCTGCAAGAGACGCCAAAGTCTCTTCTGCTCTGCTAATCTGTTAAGACTAATATGTGGCCTTCCTCCACCAAAAGGACTTGGCACTCACTACGTGCCCTTGGGATACCTCCTCTGCTCCTGCTCTTAGACCAGGTTCTATACAGAGGTTACCTACTGCATCACCTAAAAGCTGTTTCTATAAAACCACTGTAACAGCAACAATATTTTCTCTTTTTCCAGCCTCACATCTTTATAAAGCCGTAAGTGGATGCCCAGACTTTGTTATGCAACAAGCATAAGTAATGAAAAAAAAAATAAAGCCAAGTGTCAGGCAAAACTTACTAATGGAGAAAATCCCTCCAAGAGCAGTTTCCAACAAAGAATAAGATTGAAACCTTTCCTTTAGAAGTTTACAAGCAGACTGGAAAAAAAAAAGATCAGCGGTCACTAAGCAGCTGAGAAGCAGTCCATATGATTTAGCTGGCTTTTGGCAGCCAAAACAGGCCAAGAATCCAGAACTGGCATTTGGTCAATATTCATAGAATCCCAGGCAGGTTTGGGTTGGAAGGGACCCTGAAGTCCATCCAGTTCCAACCCTCTGCCACAGGAGGGACACCTTCCACTAGACCAGGTTGCTCCAAGCCCCATCCAGCCCGGCCTTGAACACTGCCAGGGATGGGGCAGCCACAGCTTCTCTGGGCAACCTGTGCCAGCGCCTCAGCACCCTCACAGGGAAGAACTTCTGCCTAAGAGCTCATCTCAGTCTCCCATCTTGCAGGTTAAAGCCACCCCCCCACCTCCCTTTGGCCTCTGCCTACATCATACACCAGTGCTGGCAGCAGTTCAGGTTTGAGCCTAAAAACCAGAAAGGTGAAGCAAGGCAGCAGCCGCGAGTTGCTGCGGACAGCCAGGAACCAGCCCCCCGCCCACCCCGGGCCCACAGCACCTTCGTACACCAGCCCGCAGCCGCCCCGCTCCAGGAGCCGGACTAGCTTCCACCGCCGGCCGCCCTGGTCCGTCAGGACTACATTCACTGGCAGGGGCTCCGCCGGGCCGCGCCGCAGCTTGTGGGGCGAGCGGGAGCCGGGCCAGGCCGGGGACCGTGCTGATGCCGTCCCCGGGGAGCCCGCGGGACTCGTGGACGGCTGCGGCGGCGGCGGGGGCGATGCCGGCTCCTTCTCCTCCTCCTCCTGCTGCTGCTGCTGCTGCTGCAGCGGCGCGTGCAGCCTCCCACCACAGGCCGGGCAGAAGCGGAACGTGGGCTCCACGCCGAACCCGCACTGCGGGCAGAACCGGCTCACCCTGCGGGACACCGGAGACAACCGTCAGCGCGCGCGCCCGCCCCGGAGGACCACCCTGTCCCCGACTCCCCCCGCCGCCGCCGCCGCCACCACCACCTCACAGAGCCGCCAGCCGCCTCGCTCTGCGGCTGCCCCGACTGCGGCCTCGGCCGGCCACGGCCACGGCCCCGACGCCCGCGGCCCGACATAACCCCACCGACTGCCGCCCAACCCGCGCTGCCGCGCATGCGCCGCTATGTGGCAGCTGCCGCGCCTGCGCCCGAGCCCGCCCAAGGGCGCTGCCCGAGGGTGTGAGCGGCTGGGGTCGATGGGGTTCAGTGAGCTGAGGGAGCAGGGCCCGGGGGTTGGCAGCGGGGCCTCCTCAGGCAGGGGCTTCCGCCTGGGGTCTGACAGATTGTTCATCGCTTCAGCTACGCCCTGAAAAACAACCTTGGGAGCACCAAACTGGTTCTCAGAAGCTGATGGGTGCTGGTCAGTGGTGTAGGGCTAGGAGGAGTCACTCGGTGTTCAGCGTTTGTGTGTGTAAACTATCCCTTCTGTGCATTGTGCACCTATAAACCTCAAGCGGATGCTAAGGTATTGCCATACAGCAAGTGTCGGTGGATTTGACCTTGGCCTTCTGGTGGGTGAGACCCAGGGTTGCTTGGGGAAGGCTCCTGGATCCCATGGAGAGGGACAGAAGGGCAGCTGAGGTGTGCACAGTGGGGACCATGACTTTGTACAAGGGACAGGATAAGGGGGAATGGCTTTATCCTGACAGAAGGGAGATTGAGATGAGCTCTTAGGCAGAAGTTCTTCCATGTGAGGGTGCTGGGGCACTGGCAGAGGGTGCCCAGAGAAGCTGAAGCACAGAATCAGACTCTACAACTCAGTTATAAAGCAGGTATGCTTATTATGGTGCCGGGTGCAAGGGGGATCGCTCCTCCTAACTTGTACCCTGAGGGTTAAACAAGCAGATATTTATTACACACAAACATGAATATTCATTAGGTTCTGGAGAGTCCAACAGGGATATTACAATTAGTTTAGATACTCATTATCATAAGTCTCCTCCCTTTTGGTGCTTGCACATTGCCCTCCGATGGTCATGGGCAGGGGTCTTCAAGATGAAGCAGTCTTCCTCAGGGTGCACTTTTCACCTTTGGCACAGTTGGATGCCCTAGCAATCACAAATTAGCTGAAACCAACTGTATCTGCAAGCTTTTGATAGCTGGCAAAGATTTAGAACAATGTGACCTTTGTACAAAATTTATTGCAAGCAGAACAGGATGGGCAGACAAGGAGTATCCTAAGATAGCAGATGTTTGGGAGTCACTGTCTCCAAACTAACTGATAATTAGAAGGATGGTAAGAAATAATTCACTCATTAGAAGGATGGAAAGAAATAATTCACTCATTAGTAAGACTACTAAATTCTGTTATCACACCACACGCTTACAACACAAACATTGTTCTCTATCTTAGACCTAAGTTAAGTTAAAAGTATTTTAACCCTATGTTTTCCAGGCGCTTGCTTTCCTTATATCAAAGCTGTGGCTGCCCCATCCCTGGCAGTGCTCAAGGCCAGGTTGGACAGGGCTTGGAGCAACCTGGTCTAGTGGAAGGTGTCCCTCCAGTGGCAGGGGGTTGGAAGTGATTGAGCTTTAAGGTCCCTTCTAACCCAAAAAAAGTCCAGGATTGTATGTTTCCATGTTCTCATGCCATTTTTTCTTCCCTCTTTCAACACATTTGCCTGGTACCAAAGCCAGGTTTAAGTTCCCAGTGTTTCCTAGACCTCTTAAAATGAGCCTGGCATTTGCCAGCTCCCTCTGGGAGCAGGGAAGTCAGGAATCTGCTTCATCCGTCCTGTCCTAACCTGTGTCAGGCAAGGCCCCACCAGCCGCGGAGGTCTCCAGCACACTTCCTGCTTCTGTTGGGGTTTCAAAATATGCTGTTGTTTATTTTTGGGGTAAGTAAATTACACTCAAAATGCATTTTCATCCGTGTGAGGGTGTTTGTGTATCGTGATGTTTTCCTGGTTTGAAACGGCAAGTGCCAGTTTTTTAAGAATTTGGGAGTCAATCATCTGAATTTTACTGTTTATCTGTGTTTTGGGTACCTCGCTCTGCTGTTAAAACACTCTCCTACAGGTTCCCCGGGGTACTGCATCAGGATCTCTCTGCTTAGAGCCTCGCGTCCACACTGGCTTCACCGTACCCCCTTGTTCTTTGCAAGTATCTTCCTCTGTATTCGATTTTCACTTCTTCCAACCAGTTTGTTTTATATAGTTCCTTCTGGCCTGCAGAGGTTTTTCACCCCTGTCTACACCAGTTTATGGCTCAGGGGATGCCTCTGCTTGTGGATCTCTAACTGGGAGCTCCAGGTGCAGCTGTTTGGGATGGTTTTGCTGTGATGCTTTCCCTCTGCCCCAGCAGCGGTTTTGTGCTCTCACAGCCAAAATGCTAAGGGAGGAGACAGCACTTTGGGGGGATTGTCCCCATCCTCTCTGGGTGGTTTACAGCAAACCCTAATGCTGTCCTCTGTTCATCCTCTTTGTTCATCCTCTTTGTTGCATGGCCCACTCCCTGCAGATTCATGCAGTTTCCTGATGCACATATCCCCTTTACTCAGTCGAGCTGATGCCTTCCCTCCCCCTGCTCACACACCAGCCCTCCACCCGCTTCTTATTGACTCTCATCCCTGGGCTGTCCCCATCTCTGGACCCCGGGGCTTCCCAATGCCTTATCCCCATCTAAAGCAGGCTGTTTTCCTCTCCCACAGCCATCACACAGCATTTTTTTCTTGTCCTGGCAGCCCACTTTTTTAATGTCTTTTTTTTCTGACTGTTCTCCTTCCTTCATTGAAGGAACAGTTACAAGTTTACCTCTGGATGATTCCCTGCCCCACTGCTCACTCATCTCACCCACTGTCCTCAATTTAAACCCCCTCCTATGATGGTTTTCATGTAAGGGCTCTGTTTCCTTTTGCCAGGGCTCACCTTTTCTGGAGATGTTCCTTCTACCAGAGAATTTTCTCTAGTTCTTTTCTAAGCTGAAATCCAGCCCACATAGCCAGTAATCTGCCCACCCTCACTGAGCCAGCAGCACTGCCTGTCCTGGATCCAGCTCCCTCTAATGCAGTGGCTTAGGTGAGCTTTTAACTCTCCCTTGGTCTGGGAAGAGGGAAATGGCTAAACTTTTAGGACAAGATCTGTCTCCCCGTGGACTGTGTTCTGAGGATGTTCCATGCTGTCCTGGCAGTGGGGAATATGCAGGCAGCCGGCAATAGATCCTTATCTCCTCCCTCAGGGATTTCCTTGGTGTCAGTTATGCCTCCCTTATCTCATCCCACGCTTCCCAGCTGCCAGCAGCAAAACTTAGCAGATTTACATGCTGGCAGAGATCTATGAGCTTGACGGAGTGCCCAAAGCTGCCAGACCGTAAATATCTTAATGAATTGAGGCTCTTCCTTTGCATTTACACAACTCTTTGATCCTGAAGTGATGCTGCTTACAGGGGTGCTACAGTCCCAGGAGAGGCCTCCAACTGCAGGTTCTGTCTGTCCCTCTGCTGCTGTTGCTAGGGTGGCTCCAGTGGCTGCTCTCTGAGAACAACCCCAGAGAGATGTAGGGGTGACACCAGGGAAGGTGCTGGAGTACAGGCAGTGATCTCAGGGACAAAAGCCACACACAGGTCACAGGAGTGGAGGTGGCAGGTTTGCCCTGCCAGCACAGGGGTGATTCCTCCTTTCAGACCCTGATGAGAGAGTGGCAGGAGATCTCACAGAGAGCCCCAGTGAGCCCCCTGCCTTGCAGCCTCATACCCTGCTGCCCTTTTCTGACATCATCCCTAGTGTCCCTGCTCCATCCTCCACCACGTCCTCTGCACACTCCCCTTCCAAGTGCCAGCTGAGCCACTGCCATGCAACTGCACCTCGTTGCAACATCTCCCATCCTCTGTTCCCAGCCATGAGGAGACTGTAAATACTTTTGACTTTTGTTGTGATCTAATTGCTGAGCTTCCTTCGGAGGCAGGCATAGAGAGGAACTGCATGAGGCAACAGGGAAGGTCACAAGGAGAACTGAGGCGGCTGCAACTGGGGAGGATCAAACCTGGGTGTGAGCAGGGGTGTGGATGGTGGCTCAGCCTGGGCTGAGATGAGGCTCTGGTGTGACACCATGGGCACCAACTGTTCCAGATCTTCCCAAGGCCCAGTCACCTGTGACTGTGCCACTGGCTGCAGGCATCATCCAAGACAGGGCCCCATGATGAGTGCTGGTACACAGATGCAGAATGAGACCTTCATCACCTCACAGCTGCAGCAGCATGCTGGTGACAGGCAAAGACGAAAAAGTGACAAGTCCAGAGCCAGACAACACTTGGTGGAAAGGCACATGCCATCCCCACACCCCATTACTCACAATCTCAGGGGCATGTGCAGCTCTGCTGATCTGGGCTGACTCCTTCATGCCTCTAAGCTCTGTAATGAGCTCTGCTGTGGTGCTGCTAAATAGATGAGTGTGAGCACGACAGCTCTGTTGTGGGCTGGTGGCTGCTCCTTGTCCCTGGCAGATGGACTTCAATGTTGAACGAGCCAGGGGAGCACAGGGACGCAGCTCCTGGCTGCAGCTCTGCAGATGGGTGCTGGGTCTGTGCATCTCACAATACAGCCTGTGGGAGATGGGACCCACATGCAGCCCAGCAAGTGGAGGCACTGCTGCATCCACCCCATCCAGAATAACAGCAGCTCCCTCCAAGCAGAGCACAGCCAATTGGGACAGACCCAGTGTGTGACTGTTACAGGACTCCGTAAGTCACCCTCTGAAGCCAAACCTCAGCTTTTGCCAGTGACAGGAGCAAAGTCAACCATGGTGGTGAACAGGGTCTCTCCTTCCCTCTCTCCCATTGACAGCAGCCCTGAGGAGAAGGACTTGGGGGTGAGGAGAAGCTCCCCATGACCCAGCAATGTGCAGTTGAGCTCAGAAACACACTCCCCCATGTGCTGGGCTGCATCCCCAGGGCATGAGCAGCAGGTTGATGGGTGGATTCTCCCCATCTGCTGCACTCTGGGGAGACCCCCCTTGCAGTCCTGCATCCAGCTCTGGGGCAACAAAACAAGAGGGACGTGGAGCTGTTGGAGTGAGTCCAGAGGAGGCCACTGAGATGCTGCGAGGGCCGGAGTAGCTCTGCTCTGGAGCCAGGCTGAGAGAGCTGGGCTGGGTCAGCCTGGAGAAGGCTCCTTAAGGGGA